TATAAATAACTGAAACTGCTGCTCTAATTTCAAGCAGCTTACCAACTAAACAGCCTCCAATTATTCAAATAAACCATCTTTTTGGATCTAAATTGGAGAATGATCTCTTGATCTTATTTCTATATTTCAATCAAAGGGAAAATGTTGTTACTCTACTATTCCATCATTCACCAATTCTTCTAATCCTCTCCAAAGCCTCTCTGCAGCTGCCTTGGTGTCATCCTGTGTCAACCCACCAAAGGAGATCCTCAAATGGCCCGGACACCCACTTGCGCTTCCAGGAATCACAGCCACCCCATGCTTGTTAGCAAGCCAACGAACCACCTTAAAATCGTCAACATACTGATCCGGAAGCTTAGCCCACAAGTAAATTGCACCTTCTCCACCTTGCACAGCACCTTCTCCTAAGGGTGAGAGAGCTTCTATGACCATTTCCCGGTTCTTGACAAGATTCTTTACTCGTTCAATGACCCACTCAGGTCCCACTTCTAAAGAATAGAGGGCAAGGCGCTGGGAAATTATTGAAGGACAAATAGGTATGTTATCTTGAACTTTCAGCAGTTGAGTTCCAAGGCCTTCTACTTCTGATGGGTATGCTATCTGCACACATCCGTATCTAGGCTCAGACAAATCACAAGTACACATTATGTCGTAAATGAAGAACACATAATCAAATAAAATCTACAGAAAACAAAGGAAAAATGGTGACTGGGAAAACATATAGCTAAATGTGCACTTCAAGCTTACCAGCCATTTAGTGTTTTACTAAATCATGCTGGTTTGTAGTAAAAACAAAGAATATTGAGGGCTGATAAAAGAAATGAAAACTTCTTAATCTTTATAAATAATTGAAAAACGAACCAACTCTTGTGGCATAATGTTTCATGTCACAAGTCTAAAAGCTTGGAGACACTAAGTTCAACTAGGTGTTTGTAAATGGTAATTGTAATTACCCCCTTCCCCCCAATTTTTGATGTTCAAAAAAATAGACAAATATTGAATATAATCAAACAATACGTTTAGCAACTTTTAATGATTCATTTAAGGGAAAAAAAATTATGAATTCATATTCTAAGTAAAACAGTGTCTTTTTAAAATGTAGTTACTTACATAACCAATTCTCCATCCCATCATTCCGTAAGCTTTTGAAAATGAAAAGATGTTCACAATATGGTTGCCTTCAATACAAGAATGTTTCCGACCATCATACATAAAGTACCTGCAGAAAAAATGTAAACATCAAAACAGCAATGGTTTCGTATGTTTCTTTACCCTAAAAAGCCAGTGCAAAAGTTGGAAGAATACAGGGAATATTGGAGTAATCAAAAAACCATAACAGTATCTTTCAGCCAAGATGTCTTTAGAATCTTGTTGATATTGTTATTACTCTATAAATTGATTTGACAACAACCTGTCTTGATTTTTTTATTACAGGACCTGAACTAATGTATATTTGAACAGACTACAGAGAAATAAGGGACATTTGAACATCTATTTAAGTTCTTATATACATATATATATATATATATATGACATCAATGTAAGACCATTACGCATACTTGTTTAAAGCTGTTTCAGTTATATGAACAGAAGTCAAACTCCGTTCCAAAAACACACTTAGGTCAGACCACAAAGGTGATACAAATTTTAAGATGATACATAGCTCTAGCTCTAACATATATTCACTTTGCATCAAATCTTTGAAGAAGTTTAACCTATGAAACCTACTCTAATTACTTTTTTATTTTTATTTGTTAGCCAACAAAACTTGAAATACTTGTTATGAAGGATCTCCACCCCCTACCATCATGAAGTCCACAAATTGGGGGCTTCCATCTAATAAATATCTTAGGCTTTTCTTTGAGACAGCACAGAAGCCAACCATGTTACATGAATCCATATTCCACAATAAAAACACACACACACAAAAAGAAGAAGAAGAAGAAGAAGAAGAAGAAGAAGAAGAAGAAGAAGAAGAAGAAGAAGAAGATGCTTACTCATATGTGTTGTCAACAAGCAGCCAGCATCCAGCAGCTTGGCAGAGATCTGAAATCCTCTACTCAAAATGAAGAAAAAAAAAAAAGTTAAAAGATAAACAGAACAGGAAAAAAACTTGAAACAAGAAATTAGCCATGGATTCTAAAGGGCATGACACAAGCAGAAGGTAATCTGCTATGGACATTTGTATATCCAAACGTGTATGCGTTAGAAGAGAGAGCAACCTTAAGTAGATGGTCCGGAATGCAGGTACCAGACGGATTGCCAGGATTAACAACAGTAACAAGCTTGGGAACAGGCTTAGTTTCTGACAATGTTTTCTCTAACCAATCTGAAAACAAAAACAAAACCAATGTCATTAATGAAAAGATATATGCTCTTAATATTCCTGTTCCAAAAGTAATTATACAATCATTCTGATCAAAAAGTCTGAATGCAAATGTATTTGCTCATAGATTACACAATCAATCTGATCAAAAAGTCTGAATGCAATTAATCTTTACACCTACCACAGAAAAGTATTTCCAAAATGGCATATTTCTTATGGAAGCAAGAAACCTTGATCATGTTCAATATGCTTGAAAGGACTTTATTCTCCAAAACGCCATATAAAATATGATCTTTGCCCCCTTGGCATTCTCAAATCTCACCAGTAAAGTCTAGATACTTAGGAAGAATGATAACTAAACTATGTACTTGTTACCAGAAAAAAATAAAAACACTAAACCAGTTCAACTGAAATTAATTATGAATTCTCAACTTTGCAGAAAATCTTTCATCCCTCCAGTGTGTCCAAGGACAAATCTTTCATCACTCCAGTGTCAGTGATTGAGGATGATCAATGAATTACCACCACTGGTGAAAGTTCTTTCCAAACCAATCCTATGAGTATAAAAATTTGTCTAGCTCAGAGTTGGTTCTATTTCTATTCAAACTAACAATTTTTAAACCAAAATAACCAAATGCTTTCAAAAGTTAGCCAGCATAAGGATAATAGTGCTTTTTATCACTTTTTGTTTGGTTGTTCATTCCAGAAGTCTCAAAAACATCTAAGGGAACCCATAATCATTCCCCTGCCACCCTTGAAATATTAAATTGAAGAAGCACTGCACCTGCATCAGGATGAAGAGTCTTGGGGTTACCAGGGCCCACCAGTATATTAGTGACACCCGTCATCTGGAAGGACATGTAAGCATTGAAATAGTACGGAGCAAACATGACTACTGAATCCCCTGCATCACATAATGTGAGCACAAGATTCACAAATGCCTGTCACAAAGGTAAAAAGGCAGTTCAGTATATAATATGGGAATTTATGGATTTGACCAAGAAACATCAACGATACCAGTGTTTAAACTAATGATAGAAAGGAACATTTTATCCATTGCTTAATTTATAAGATCATTTTGATGGAGCGAAAGAATTTAGAAAGCATTTGCATGAAAAGAAATTTGCTTCAGATGACAAAATGTAACAGGATAATGCATAATTTGTGGTTGCCTTAGTGACCAACTCCTTGTTAAGTTATTGTTCAGTTAATTTCCTGCTTTCGATATCTAGTGTGCCTTAACTTATTTAAGTGTCCTAATTACTCTGCATTTTAACTCTTGTTCCCTTCTCTAAATATATAGTTTAGACACCAACAATCAACATAAGTTTAAATAGTTTCCATCATGACACATCTATAATCACTTTATATTCACAGCAGATCCCATAATATAAAGTTTTTTCTGCAATTTAATCCAATACATTTAACAGTAGCCTCATAAAAGCGGGATGTAAAGAGTTCCACAACTGAACGAACTAAGTTTATTTCCTCAAACTAAAGAAAATATTTTCCCACCTATCCAATAGGAATATGAATTTGACTTCCAATCCGAATCCAGAGGGGGGTGCAATTGTGCAATATTCAGTTACAACATCAACAACAAAACATCAAAATTTAGCTAAAGCAGAGGAAGCATTCAAACACAGAAGAATTAAGAACGTAAAAGCTAGAAATTAAGAAATCAAGCAAGTGGGAATGACTGGTGCATATACATGACAGACAGCGACAACAGTTAGGCCACACTTGTCTCCTCAGTAAAACTAAAATGTGCCTGGTAAGTTTAACAGTTACTACTTTAATATCAGTCCTAAACCTACTTAGTTCTCATTCTGTCTCTATACAACCAAAATGATAATAAACAACAAAACTTATAAAATGCAATGTTAGGTACCTGATTTGCACCTGCAGTAACCATCACTGAAGACTTATGCAGCTTATTTTCCATATGCAACTGCAAATAAATAAAGATAATCAACTTACAGCATATGGTCATTAACTTCTGATTGCATAGACTATGTAATATCAATTTTAAAGTAAAAGTCTGAAATGTTAGAAATGGAACTCCACGATGGCAATATCTACAACATCTAACAATCAGCATCTCTAAGAAGCTACACTACCAGAAGCCTAGAGCAACATCATGCTGAAAAGATAACAGAGCTAATTACATGGATAATTGATCCCAAAGCTAAAATACGCATATATAACTACTGGTTACAGTATGAAAATTGATTACAACTTATCATTCTAGTAGAAATAAATTAGTCAAATTAAACAAATTTGCCAACCCTGTCTACCCAGATAACCCAAAATTGGGAATCTTTATGCACAAGCCAATTTAACCACTATAATGGTGGCTTGCTTGACTTGTCCTCAACCTAACCACACCCTTGGAATTTACAACCCTTGTGAGCTTGGACTATTTACCAATAGGCCCCAGAATTATTAATATTAATGTAGTAACATAATATTGGAAGTGGAAAGAAGCTTAGTCATACCAAGTACAAGAACCATAGTTTCACAGTAGATGAGAAAATTTATACCTTTTCCATCAGGGCTTCCCTAAGTTGAGGAAGACCTTCATCAGCACCATAACGACTAATTGAAGGCTCCCAAACAAGTTCTTTGACCTTATCCAATGCTTGTTTAGGCGGTTGCCAATATACCACCCCCTTCAGCACATTATTACAATATAATGAGAATACAATGCAATCAAAGAAGCAAGAAAGAAAGATTACACTCAGCAAAAGTAGACCCAACCTGAAAAACCCGACCTAACACACCCACTCTGGGCCTATTGTCCTGACCCAGAATTCGGAATTACCCAATCCGGCTGCAAGTTAACTACTAACTAGGTTGGGTAAGCTACTAAAATTAATTGATTTTTTAAATTTAAAATATTAGTTAAATATAGATTAATATTCATTTTTAAATAAAAATAAAATTAAAAATGTAAAATAACTATTCTTTATTAAATTATTAGATTTAATATTGGTTAAATAGACTTTTTGGCCAAAAAAATAAGTAAAAATAAAATTTTTTAAAGAAAAATAAAAAAAAAAAGAAAAAATTAAAATAAAAAAAAAAATTAAGTTCACTTTACCCAACCCCGAGACCCACATGCCATATGGGTGAATCAGCCCTTCTAAAGCTGAATCCAAAATGACCCAACCCAATAAACCCAACACTCACGTTGACTCATCCCTTAACCTATCTAACTTGACTATTTTTCTAGGTTTGGATTAAGAACTAATTTTCTTTTAAATTTAAAAAATTTATGTACTAAATTGAAATTAATCATTGTCTTTAGAAGCCATGCTGGGATGACTATTTAATGGACATTGACTACGGCTGCTGAATTTTGAGTTAATTTCTGCTGTCATAGTGGGCTTATTGGCTTAGAAAAATAGGCAAGGCGCTTATGTGTGAAAATTGAATTAGCTGAGGGGCTTAGAACATGGTTGTGCCCCAAACTACAAAACAAAATCAATGAGTATTTGAGAAACAAACCTGTGCCAGGGACATTACATCTTTTGCTCCTCGGATCAATTGTTGCATCTGCAACAAGACCCCACATTCATCAACAAAACCCCCTATCCTCGAAACAGATTCATTATCAGAAACAAAGGAAACCCAGTTTGGAAATTAAAATAATACCTGAACCATGATTGGCATCTCAGTCTCCACAGCTCTTCTAGCAAGCATTCCGAAGGAACCCATCTCAAAAGACTCTTTCCAGCAAACGAAACAAAACACTCAACAACACAACTCTCCAAATTGATGAGCTGAAATTTATAAGAAATACCTGAACCCTTTTCCTCTCACTTACCCATATATATGACCCAGAATCTAGGAACTTCAGATCTCTTCACAGGAAGGACAAAAGGGTAGAAAGAAGCCAACTTCTCCAAGTAAAAGAAAATAGATTGAGTTAGGCACGTGGTCATCCTCAACAACCCCACGCAGAACACCAAACGCCTTTGTAGGGAACTCAGCCAAGGGAGAAGGAAAGATTAAAAAAAGAGCCAAAACACAAAAAAGCTACACGCTTTACTCCTCCCCTCCTTTTGGAAGTTTCCTGTAGGCTACACAAAAAGACTTACACACAAAAACTCCTTTTTTCTTCTACTGAGTGGATGAGTTGGCTTGAGTTCGCAAGACTCTTTTAGTTTAATTAAAGATTTTGATTTTAAATTTTAAAAATATAATTTTATTAAAACTCATGAAGTAGAGTTTTATCATTTTTTGGATTCTGTTTAACTTGAATTTGGATTAATCAGTGACTTAGTGAGCTTTCGAATAATAGGTGGTCCATATAAAAAAAAAAATCTCTTAGAATTTTTTGAAAAAAATTGAAAATTTGGAAAACAATTAACTTAACGTTTGTTTGGTAATAGATTAATTAAATTTTCTAAGAAATAAGTAACAAGGTTAACTAAGCCAACTACTAAAGTAAGTTAATATTAATCTTTTCTTTTCTCTTTTTTTGAAAATAAGAGATATTGCACTTAAATAATATGTACCTAAAATGTGTGAATTAAGAGATTAAAAAAATAATTTTTTATTATGTAACTTAAAATTAAAAAAAAAACCTTATATAACTATAAATAATAATAATATAATTATTATAATATTATATAAAATTATAAAATTATAATTATAATAAAATATTAAACAAATGAATATATAATACCACCAACAAATTTTAATAAAAAAATTAATCATAGAAGCAATACTAATTTGTTCAATTAATAAAAAAAAAAAAAGGCGATGGTTTCATTTTTTCTTTTTCTTTTTTTTTTTTATTTTCTGGTGGAAGATAGTTTCATTTGTTCGATTTGTTTAATGTAATTTGAAAACAGGGGGACAAACTATTTGACAGTCGCAGAAACAGACCGTGAACTTGCAGTAAAATATGGTACCTAGAATTTGTCAAAGCAGACCTCTTCTTCAAGGCACATGAACATCAGATGAAACGGAGCTAATAATAATAAGAATGTTTTATTTTATTATTTAAATTGTATTGAATTGAAAAATAAAAATTATTAAATAAAATAAAACTCTTAATATTAAACAGTCATTTTTTATTTTTTATTTTTATTTTTTTTTAACATAAAAAGTAAGACTTAAACACCATACCTTCAGGTTAAGCATGAAAAGTCTTTTATAAAGATAAGATAACTAATAGACCAAATAATGTTCTCAAAAGTCAATTTTTATTTAACAATTCAAGTTATATAATTTAATATAATTTAAATTATACAATATTTTTTCCATAATAATATATGTGACAATTTCAGTTCTGCCTCTTGTTTTTCTTTTTTTATTATCATTGAACACTAAGAATTTGGGGAATTTAGGTCATTAAGGCAATTTTTTTTTTAAAAAGAATTGAGTGAGTCAATTTTCAATAAGAGTTGGGCTCAACTGCCAAATTCAAGGCTCTAAAATAGGGGTGTTAACGGGTCATGCGAGGTCAGGGAGTCCCTCCTCATCCCCATCCTCGTGAATGGCAGGGATAGGGATCCACGCA